CCCATGAAAATGAAAACTTTGAAAACACAACTCCATAGGCCTACTTTTCGGATCACTCTCCATTAATGTAGAACAAACGCACAACTTCAGATCATTAGGGCTTCGTTAAGCTTATAATGCTAGGCTAGGGTATTGGGTTATGAAAGAACGTAAGGGATTCAAGCAATTAAGAGGAATAATCTTACAATTCAAAAACACAATCGCTCAAAACAACTTACTCTCTTAAACCCGAAACCCTTTATCTTTTTTTTTCTTTTTATTGCATCACTCTGCCCAACCACAATTGAATATGTACCCTTTTCATGCTTCCTTATTGTTTTTTTTTCTTTTTTTCTTCTTATTATTATTATTTTAAACACATAACTTAGGAAGCAATGATATCACCCAATTCCCTTTTTTTTTTTTTTTCACACAACAACCCCTAGCCTGGTCTTTTGAATATCCTCACTAAAGTCCTATACAAATCTCGAAGCCACATACATTTTAATTTCAAGATTCAGATTAATCCTCTTAAAAGAACAACAAAGGTAGGAAATGTGTTTAAGAGTTAAAATGGGTAGGTTATTGTAGGTTAAAAGAAAGAAAATCAAGGCTCAATATATACAGTAAGGCTCAATGGGGTGACTAAGGATAGTAACATATAAGGGTGGCTTGAAAGGAAAAAAAGGTCCAAAGATGGCCTAAGTTGTAAAATCCCTCCCTAGTCAGGTACCCTCTGAATATCCCTCAATGAGAATACAGAGAATTCATGTCTGGGGAACGAGTTGTATTTAGAAAACCTATGCAAGAGTAATAATAATGTCTAAAACATTACTATAAGATGTACCGCATGATCAAAATTTGTACCTTCAAAAATAAAAATAAAAACTTAAATTCATTTGGGCATCAATCAATCAAAACATATTAATGCTATTTTCATTCATATGGTGGAAGCTTCAAAAAGGTGTTTTGGAAACATTTGTCATTTACATTATTTATATCAAGATAAAACATCAGGTTGACAATAAATTTTCTTCCCTCACGCATAGCCTTGCTGTCTCTAGCATCCCTTGCTTCTGGATTACTTGTAAAACATTCAACCATGAAAGGGTGAGCCCTAATTGCTCAGTAAGGAATGATCCATTTAATACCAAGTATGTTATTTGACATTCATTCAAACACATTCATTCACATACCACACCTCTTTTGCATCTAAGTATGGTTCCTTTTCTTTACTAACTCATATACTTTTCATCATCTTTCCTGTGGTCATATAAAACATCAAGTGTACACATACAAATAAGTATGTAAACATAGTACACACACATCACATGTCATGACATAACATCAAAATATCATCTAACATGAGTACCAATCATCTCATGATGTAAATAACATCATAACTCATGTAATGCAACTAAATGCATATGAATCATTTAACGTCTAGCAGATCGAACTTTTCTTAGCATCTTAAGCACTTCATATCATCTAGCCTCAAATTCATCTAGAGCTCATATCATTGGGAGGCATGCTTATGATTTATTTAGAATCTAAAGCATATATTCATCTTTCCTCTCATCTAGCCTTAAATTCATCTAGAGCTCATATCATTAGGAGGTGTGCTTATGCATTATTTATCATCTAAAGCACATGTTCATCTTTCCTCAACCGGAATATGAGGATATGTTTACGCGTTAATTAACATCTAAAGCATATATTCATCTTTCCTCTCATTTAGCCTTGAATTCATCTAGAGCTCATATCATCGAGAGGTGTGCTTACTCGTTATTTAGCATCTAAAGCATATATTCATCTCTCCTCAACCAGTATACGAGGATATGCTTACGCATTTTTCATCCTTTCTTTTTGCATCTCTAACATCTTATGGCATGTAAATACATGTTTTAGTGAGCTTAATACTTTTGATTCATCTATGGATTATCAATCCATTTACAATACCTCTTGCTCACATTCATCATCTTAAAACATATATTACATTGCATCTTCATGCCATTTCATAACATTAATCATGCATTTGCATCCATGACCATGTATATCTTTCAAAGATCATCTAACTAAATGGTAAACATTAGTTCATGGTTTAATCACATCAATATATAATCAATGCATAGTCATGAGAATTAATTATGTTAAATCTTGAACTTTAATAACTAAAAGCTTATACTTCAGGCTATTTTCCATCCACTTTCTAAATGAATTGGCTCTTGGCATAAACATAAAAGTTATAAGGTTATGTATTAGCTTTCTAGTGCTTTAAGAATCATCTCATTTAGATTTTTATAACTCAAGCTATGGTCGAAATACTGAAGCATGTTTAACATAAGCCCTAAAATTGCCAAATCCGAATTTTTCATATTAAACCATGCCATATCAACTTCTATTGACAATTAACAAATATGTCAACTTATGGATCAGTTAAACCTCCCTTTAATAGTCTTTAACATCTTAAAGGAAGGGTAAAACCTCACTCCCATGATCATCCATCATTGCTATAACATTGTAAATTAATGCAAATAACACATCAACACTTCTAATAGCAACCATTCAACACCATGTGGCCTCCAATGCTACAAGTTTTGCCACAATCAACATCAATACTTCATTTTCTTCAATTAAAACATAACAACTTATAAAACATAAATGGAAATAACTTCATGTATAATGAATTTAAGGCAATAAATAACATTAATGAGTTCAACTACACTTGCCATCAACTAATTCTATACCTTAAAGCCTTAATTTAAGGTTTCATTAAAATCTACAAACCCTATTATGCCATGCACTAATGTTTAGCCATTAGTTAGATGATCTTTGAAAGATATATATGGTCATGGATGCGAATACATGATTAATGTTATGAAATGGCATGAAGATTAATGTAATATATGTTTTAAGATGATGAATGTGAGCAAGAGGTAATGTAAATGGATTGATAATCCATAGATGAATCAAAAGTATTAAGCTCACTAAAACATGTATTTACATGCCATAAGATGTTAGAGATGCAAATAGATAGGATGAAAAATGCGTAAGCATATCCTCGTATACTGGTTGAGGAGAGATGAATATATGCTTTAGATGCTAAATAACGAGTAAGCACACCTCTCGATGATATGAGCTCTAGATGAATTCGAGGCTAAATGAGAGGAAAGATGAATATATACTTTAGATGCTAATTAACGCGTAAGCATATCCTCGTATTCCGATTGAGGAAAGATGAACATGTGCTTTAGATGATAAATAATGCGTAAGCACGCCTCCTAATGATATGAGCTCTAGATGAATTTAAGGCTAGATGAGAGGAAAGATGAATATATGCTTTAGATGCTAAATAACTCATAAGCATGCCTCCCAATTATAAGAGCTCTAGATGAATTTGAGGCTAGATGATATGAAGTGCTTAAGACACTAAGAAAAGTTCAACCGGCTAGACGTTAAATGATTCATATGCATTTAGTTGCATTACATGAGTTATGATATTATTTACATCATGAGATGATTTGTACTCATGTTAGATGATATTTAGATGTTATGTCATGACATGTGATGTGTGTGCACTATGTTTACATACTTATTTGTATGTGTACACTTGATGTTTTATATGACCATGGGGAAGATGATGAAAAGTATATGAGTTAGTAAAGAAAAGGAACCATACTTAGATGCAAAAGAGGTGTGGTATGTGAATGAATGTGTTTGAATGAATGTCAAATAACATACTTGGTATTAAATGGATCATTGCTCACTGAGCGATTAGGGCTCACCCTTTCATGGTTAAATGTTTTACAAGTAATCCAGAAGCAAGGGATGCTGGAGACAGCAAGGCTATGCATGAGGGAAGAAAATTTATTGTCATCCTGATGTTTTATCTTGATATAAATAATGTAAATGACAAATGTTTCTGAAACACCTTTTTGAAGCTTCCACCATATGAATGAAAATAGCATTAATATGTTTTGATTGATTGATGTTTGATTGATTGATGCCCAAATGAATTTAAGTTTTTATTTTCATTTTTGAAGGTACAAATTTTGATCCTGCGGTACATCTTATAGTAATGTTTTAGACATTATTATTACTCTTGCACATGTTTTCTAAATACAACTCGTTCCCCAGACATGAATTCTCTGGATTCTCATTGAGGGATATTCAAAGGGTACGTGACTGGGGAGGGGTTTTACATTTGGTATCAGAGCAAGTATTTTGTTACTTTAAAAAGGGTGTTTTAAGATGTTTTCTATTGTGGAGTTTTGCATTTATGATAATTGATGACATTATCCCTCATGTAAAGTTCTGCTGCTCTGGTTGTCTAATCGCTGTAAGTATGTTTACCTGATTTTAGGTAAGGATTGATTTAGATGATTAACGTTATATGTGCGACTGTGATAAGGAATAAATATGAGGAAAACAAGGAGAACTGATGCAGGTCGCAGTGATGCTTTGAATGCACAAGATGTCCCAACTGCACCTAAAGCTCCTAACTCGGAGCTGTTACTTCAAGCGCTCCGAGTTCAGATGTTGCAACATTGGAGCGTATGATCTAGGAGGCTGTTAATAGAGCTTTAAGGAGAACCATGCCGGAAAGTACAAGCACTCCGATGACAACAGCGATGACCAATATGGGACCAAGCCAAGCAGCTAGGACGAGTAACCTAGAAGTAATGGTTCCTGCAAAGCAGATTGGACCAATTTACAGCCTCTCAAGTAAACATCAGCCTCCAAAATTCAGCGGCACTAATGATCTTATAGTAGCGAAACAATGGATCTAGTTGGTGGAGAAAGCTACTGCTTTATTTCCTATGGCAGACTAGTAGAAGATCCAGTATGCTATATACTTGTTGAGAGGAGATGTTATGACATGGTAGGAGCTTACGAAGTAGAATCAGGATACCACCACTCTCACTTGGTCAGGGTTCAAGGAACTATTTAAGGAGCAACACTAGATTGTAGTTATGACATCCTCTAAGCTGTAAGAGTATATTACTTTGCAACAAGGAAATATGGTGGTCAAAGAGTACTCAATCAAGTTCAACTCCTTGGCTAAGTTTGCACCCACACTAGTCAGTACACCACAGACCCGATTGGAGAGATTTGTGGGCAGACTTCATCCCATTATCACCAGAGACGTTATGTCAGGTCATCAGCCCTCCCAAACATATAGTGAAGCACTCATTAGAGCCATCAGAGTGGAGGTGTACTTGAGGAAGGAGACCAAATTAAATCTTCCCCTAGCAGTGGCAAGCAATCCTCTCCAGATTGGCCAGTCCAGTAGTGCAAAACAAGTTGTTGGCAAAGACGATAATGGTAAAAGCAAGAAAAGAGTCCCACCTAAAGCCAACAAGAAGGACATAAAGAAAAAGGGCCAACAGAGGAAATGTGAGATCAGTTACTATAAGAAATGTCGAAGGAGACACAAGGGTGAATGTCTGGTGGGGACCAATGTTTGTTTTAGATGTCGCCAGCCAAGTCATATTGCAAGAGATTGTCCCATTGGTTCTATAACTTTAGTACCCGTAGTTGGAGGTATGACAACCAGGGTATATAATGTGGCCCATATGGAGGCAGATGCTAACCCTTCAATAGTCATGGGTCAGTTCTTATTCCATGATACTCCTTTGTATGTCTTGATTGATTCTGGTGCTACACATCCCTTCATCTCCTATGGTATGATTAAAAGAATAGGGTTAATTCCTATTAGAGTAAACATGCCATTAGGATTGAATTGCCTGATGGTGAGGGTGTAGTGACCAATGAAGTCTTAATGAGGGAGTTAGGACTATTAGAGGCCGAGATATGATGAACTAGGGTTTTTATTCCTTACCTTAAACCCTTCAATTTGAAGATCCAAGGCTCCTATCTTCTTCTCCTTGAAAAATTATGCAAAACTCCTTTAAAACATAAGAGAGAAAGCTTGTTTCATGGAAGATTTGAGAGAAAATGGAAGAAAAGTTGAAGAAATGATATCTCCCTTGGCTTGAACGAATTTCCTCTCATTTATAGGAAACTATTTCATTAATTTTCCAAAATTATACTATATGCAATTAAGCCTACTCATCCTAGACTTTTGCAATGCTTATCCATAGGCAAAATGACTATTTTGCCCCTAATACCCTTTTATGGATAATTGATTCATACCGTTCCAAATGAATTGACTATTTTGCTCTTTGTTAGAATTTATGCTTTTTAACATAAAATTAACATCTAAAGGACTATTTTGAGTTGGGAACATACCTTTGACATCTTGGGTATTACATTTCCTTCCCCATTACAATAATTTCATCCCCGAAATTATAGAAACAGCTCCGAGTATCGACTTCTCATATCTTTTTCCATTTCCCAAGTAGCTTATTCTATCTTATGATTCCTTCAAAGCACTTTTACTAGTGGAATTTGCTTGTTTCTGAGTTCTTTTATCTTTCTATTAACCACATCAATATATAATCAATTCATAGTCATAAGAATTAATAATGTTAAATCTTAAACTTTAATAACTAGAAGCTTATGCTTTAGGCCATTTTGCATCCATTTTTTAAATGAATTGGCTCTTGGCATAAACACAAAAGTTATAGGGCTATGTCTTAACTTTCTAGTGCTTTAAGAATCATCTCATTTAGATTTGTATCACTCAAGTTATGATCAAAATACTGAAGCATGTTTAACATATGCCCTAAAATTGCCAAATTTGAATTCTTCATATTAAACAATGCCATATCAACTTCTATTGAAAATTAACAAATATGTCAACTTATGGATAAGTTAAACCTCCTCTTAATAGTCTTTAACATCTTAAAGGAAGGGTAAAACCTCACTCCCATGATCATCCATCATTGCTATAACATTGTAAGTTAATGCAAACAACACATCAACACTTCTAATAGCAACCACCATTCAACACCATGTCGCCTCCAATATTACAAGTTTTGCCACAATCAACATCAATACTTCATTTTCTGCAATTAAAACATGACAACTCATAAAACATAAATGGCAATAAATAACATTAATGAGTTCAACTACACTTGCCATCAACTAATTCTATGCCTTAAAGCCTTAATTTAAGGTTTCATTAAAATCTACAAACCCTAGCTAATTTCTAAAGTCATGGGAAGTTCTTCGTTACCTTTTTAAAGAATTCCCCCACCAAATCCTTTGCCTTTGTCTTCTTTTACACCTTATTCCTATATATATAACATTATACCTTAACATCTACGTCAAATCTTCAAATCACATCAAAACTAGGGTTTTTATTCCTTTACCTTAAACCCTTCAATTTGAAGATCCAAGGCTCCTATCTTCTTCTCCTTGAAAAATTATGCAAAACTCCTTTAAAACTTAGAGAGAGAAAGCTTGTTTCATGGAAGATTTGAGAGAAAATGGAAGAAAAGTTGAAGAAAAGTTGAAGAAATGATATCTCCCTTGGCTTGAACGAATTTCCTCTCATTTATAGAAAAATATTTCATTAATTTTCCAAAATTATGCTATTGGCCCAATTGTTTTAATTGTATAACTCATAAGTCCTTAATTCTTCATATAATGACATTTTGGTCATTTGGCACTAAACATAATTATTACTTAATTAATGCCATTAAATGCAATTAAGCCAACTCATCCTTGACTTTTGCAATGCTTATCCATAGGCAAAATGACTATTTTGCCCCTAATACCCTTTTATGGATAATTGATTCATACCATTCTAAATGAATTGACTATTTTACCCTTTGTTAGATTTTATGCTTTTTAACATAAAATTAACATCTAAAGGACTATTTTCAGTTGGGAACATACCTTTGACATCTTGGGAATTACATAAGTCATTTCTTTAATCATGCGTCGTCTAGGATTTCGTCTCAAGTGATCATCAAATAGGTTCTAGAATTTTAGGGATCTCACAAAAAACGTAGGAAGATTACACACAAAACATCCCTAAATGCTAGAATCAACCAACCAAACAGACCACATTCCAAGAGTTTCAAACTAAAACAAAACCAACATCTAGAATAGTTCTTCGACTAGGGTAAAAATTGACGTCTCCTATTCACTACATGTCACTGTAATCATGTTATCTCATAGACATTTGTAGAGGTGGAACAAATGGGCCAGGTTAGGCGGGTCAACCCTAACCCGGCCCGTAATGAAGAGGGTTCAACCCGCCAGCAACCCCCGAGCAGGCCGGGTTGCAAAATGGCAACCCGACGGCCTACGGGTTGCTATTTTGTCCTCTCTACAGGAGGACCGCCAACCCAGCGGGTTGCATCCGGGTTGGCCGAAAAATAAATTAAAAAAATGTTAAATTAATTTTTTTAAATTACCCTTTTACCCTTGAAATATAGTCGTTTTATAGCCGTTGGAGGGGTCTTTTTCGTCATTTTCTTTCCCCATTTTTTTCTATAAATTGACCCTAAACTCTCATATTTTTCTCACAACTCAAATTCTCTCATTCTCTCAAATTCTCTATTCTCTAATCTCTATTCTCTTAATTATTCATTTATTCTCTTAATCTTTTTGTTATCAATTTGCTCTTGTTTTAATTTTTATTAGTTTTTGCAATTTTCAATTCACATTTCCAATTTTCCAAATTCCAATTTCCATATTCCAATTCTCTTTCTTTAATTTGTATTTCTTCTACATCAATTTTCTTTTTTCAACTACAATGGATACATATTTCTCTCCCATCAATTTCAGTGATGAAGAAAACTACTATCCTAGTCCTAGTCCCGCTGATTTTACTATGAATGCAGGAGATTCAAATAGTCCTGCTGTCCCAATCCCAGTCTTAGAATCCGATACACCTCAAAATATGGCGTCAATTCCAACAGCGCCCGGTGGTTCTAGAAGTCGTCCTCGTAATCGTCGTCCTCGTCCAACTTCATCTCAAGCTGAGGCGGGATCATCAACTGCCGTCGAAAGCGAAAACAGACACACATCAGACGTTTGGGCGCATTTCGACAAGTTTTACGAGACAGAAAATGGCGTTCAAGTCAAGAAAGCAAGATGCAAATATTGTGCAAATGTTTATAAAGCTGATTCAGGTAATGGTACTAGTACTTTAAAAAGGCATGCTAATAAACATATTAATCAACATGGAAATAGAGAAAGCAATCAAACTCAAATAACTAATATGGGTACTACTTGGCGTTATAATTCTGATGTATATAGGGAACAGTTAGCTTTATATATTGCTGCATCTGATCAACCTATTAATATGGCAGAAGATAAATATTTTGAAAGATTTGTTCAAAATTCATTTTTTCCAGGATTTAAAAGTTATTCTAAAACTGCAACTAGAAATGATTTAATAAAATTGTTTAAAAAAATGAAATTAGAATTAAAAAATAAATTTCATACTTGTCATATTAGTGTGGCTTTAACTGCTGATATTTGGAGTGGTAGAGCTAAACAAGATTATATTTGTGTGACTAGTCATTATTTTGATAATGAATTTAAATTAAATAAATCTTTATTAGGATTTAGATTAATGGATGTGGATCATAGTGGTTTAGAAATCTATAATAAAATTATTGAAGTTTTAGAAGATTATGATATTATTGATAAAGTGATAAGTTTAACTTTAGATAATGCAAGTTCTAATAGTAAAGCTATAGAATTTTTTCAAAATAATTATCTTTTATATAATAATTTGAAGTTTTTTCACCAACGTTGTGCATGTCATGTTATTAATTTAATTGTGAAAAGTGGTATGAAAACAATTAAAAAAAATATTGATAGAATTAGGGAATCTTTAGCTTGGATTACTAGTAGTAATAAAAGAAATGCTGAATTTCAAGAAGCTTGTATAAAATCAAATATGTCTCCTAGAACTTTTGCATTAGATATGCCTGTTAGATGGAATAGTACTTATTTAATGCTTGATTCATGTTTACCTTATGCTAATATAATTAGTTATTTTGTAGCAAATAATAGAGGTCCTCATCATTTGGTAGAAAATGATTGGAAGATAGCTAAAGTATTTCATTCTTTTCTCAAATGTTTTTACCAAGCCACTTTACAACTTTCTGGTGTGTATTACCCTACTAGTCCATTGGTAATACATGCAATTATAAAAATTTCCGAGTTATTTACAAAAAACAAAGATGATGAAATTTTACATGCACCAATAAAGGCAATGGAAAATTTTTTTTTGAAATATTGGAGACCCGTTCCTTTTCTTTATTGTTTAGGTGCTATATTTGATCCTAGAATTAAATTAGCACGTTTAGAAAATGGTCTTGACAATTTAAGTGAAAATTTACAAAACGAATCATATATCAATCAAATAGGAGAGGTAAAAAATAGTCTTTTCGAAGTATATTTCCAATATGAAAACAGGTATGGGAACCCGCAGTCGCAAAGAGGCGAAATATCCAGAGAAGCTGTAGCAGAAGAAACAAATGAAGACTTATTCTCTTGGAATGCACTGAATAGGCCGAAGAGGACCCGAGTCCGAAGCACAGCCTCCTCTTCAGACGCACCACCACCAACAACAACAACAACTAATATGCTGTCCTCCATGGAGTCGCAGAGTAATGAACTTCAACAATATTTGGCAACCCCCGAAATGTTTTCAACAGGTCACTTTGATCTCTTAGAGTATTGGAGAGCCAGAAAATGTATTTTTCCGGTATTATCAAGACTTGCCTTGGATGTTTTCGCTGTTCCTGTCTCAACCGTCTCATCCGAACAAACATTTAGTGCAAGTGGAAGGATTTTAAATGAAAGGAGGACTAAACTTGCTCCAAAAATGATT